GCCGCCGTGTTGCATGATGAGCTTCCCTAGCTGCACCATGGACACTATGTGTCCCATGCCGGGTGCCGCATAAAGAACAACTGTTTCTTGCATTTCTTTTCTTTTTTTTTTAATTCTTCTCTAATTCTTGAACTGAGTATACAGAGTGTTAGAAAACAGAAAAGAAGAATAATTTGAAGAAAGGTTTATTGCTTTCTTGAATCATACTGTATGTACAATGATTTATATATAGATATTTACAAAGAGAATATTCTAAAGTATAAAGTATATAAAGAGAATATTCTAAAGTATAAGATATTTACAATAATTCTGAATATAATTGTGTTCGCATCTTAACATCCCACTCAAACTGAAGGTGGTTGTGATGAAACCAACTTGAGTTTGGAAAGAAGAGTACGAAAGCGTTCAGGAAAATGAGCCTTGGTAAAGAGATATGCCAGTTGATCAGCGAAACCAATGAAAACCAAATGAACAGTTCTTTGTGCAACATGATGGCGAATAAAGTGACAATCAATCTCAATGTTTTTAGTGCGTTCATGAAAGACATCATTATGATCAATTTGCATAGCTCTTTGATTATCACAATATAAATCAGTAGAAGAAGGTTGAGGAATGCCCATATCTTCAAGAAGCCACCGCAATGAAAGAAGTTCTGATGTGGTATCCCCGAGAGCTCTATACCCAGCTTCAGTATTAGAGCGAGATGGAATAGTTTGTGTCTTACTTGGCCAAGAGATAAGAGAATTACCAAGGAAAAGATAGTAACCAGTGGTAGATCTACGATCAGAAGGATCACCAGCCCAATCAGCATCAGAGTAAGCGCGAAGCACAGGGGAGGAGTTGGCAGAAAAAAGGAGTCCATGAAATAATGTTCGCTTAACATAGCGAATAATGCGAAGTACTGTCGCATAATGAGTGGAGCGAAGAGCAGCCATAAATTGACTAACAATGTGAACTGCATATGCTATATCAGGGCGTGTCGTAGTAAGATAAACCAGACTACCAACCAATTGCCGATAACGAGTAAGATCAGAAAGTGGAGAGCCATCCATAGGTGTAAGCTTGACATTAGGTTCAAGAGGTGTAGAAACACTCTTACCATCATTGAGTTCAGTTTTAGACACAAAATCGGAGGCATACTTTACTTGAGAATGCAAGTAGCCATCATCTGAAGAGATCACTTCAAGCCCCAAAAAATAGCTCAGAACACCAATATCTTTCATCTCAAATTTTTGACTGAGAGATTGTTTTAACTCCTCAACACCTGCGACATCATCTCCAGTAATAATTATGTCATCAACATAAAGAAGTAAAAGGACCATACCCCGAGCAGTCTTACAAATGAACAAAGTTATATCATGTGGACAGGAAATAAAACCAAACTCACTCACAATAGCACTAAACTTTGCATACTAGGCTCGAGGGGATTGCTTTAACCAGTATAATGCATGACGCAATCGGCATACCTTATTTGGAGGATGGTTGAGCCCAAGAGGTGGTTTCATATAAACTTCTTCTTCTAGGTCACCATTAGGAAAAGCATTTTTCACATCCATCTTAAACAATTTCCATCTCCACATAGCAACGATAACAAGCAAATTGCGCACAGATGTAAGACGAGCAACTGAAGCACATGTCTCCTCATAGTTGATTCCATACTCCTGTGTAAAACCCTTGGCAACCAAGCATGCCTTATAATGCTCCACAGAACCATCACATTGTGTTTTAATCTTGTACACCCATTTACAACCCATTAGAGATTTTTCAGCAAGGAGATCAACTAAATCCCATGTATGAGTGTTCTCAAGAGCTTGTAACTCATCTTGCATAGTTTGTTGCTAAAAAGGGTTAGAAGAGGCCTCTTGATAGGATTGAGGCTTATGTAACGAAGTAATAGCAAGAAAACAATGATAATCATGAAGATAGTTGGGAGGGTTTCTTACCCGAGTAGGATGACTCAAGGATGGGACAACAAGCTCATTTGTAGAATCAACAGGTGATATAGACAAGGAAATAAAAGAAGGCTCAAAATTATCTAATGCATTACCAGCAGGCAGATCATCTTCTACAGAACTAGTTGGAGCATGTGGTGAGGCATTGTAGAGCTCATCAGATGTACCTGCATTAGAATCACTAGGAAATAGTTTAATAGAAGGATTAGTAAAAAATGGAGGTTGATCAAAGGATGACACTTTGAAGTTTGACAATGATGAGAACATAGTGTGTTCCCAGAAGACAACATGACGTGAAACTTGGAGTTTTTGTGACACAATATCCCAACAACGATATCTTTTTTGTGTAATCCCATAACCAAAAAAACAGCATAATTGAGCTCTAGGTTTTAACTTGTTATGTTCATTAAGTGGAAGAAGAACAAAACATGCACAACCAAAAACCTTAAGAAGATTATAAGTAGGAAGAATACCATGTAGACACTCGTATGGAGGCTAGTTATTAAGGACTGATGATGGAATGCAATTAATAAGATAAACAGCTGTAAGAGCAGCTTCACCCCAAAATCGCTTTGGACAAGAAAATGAAATGAGCAGAGCATGAACAGAATCAAGGATGTGTCTGTGTTTGCGTTCGACTCGCCCATTTTGTTTAGAAGTATAAGGATAAGATTGTTGTGGCAGTGTATCATGTTCTTTCAAAAAGGATTGAAGTTTAGTACCAAGATATTCAGTAGCATTGTCAATTCTTAAAACTTTGATAATTTTAGAGAATTGAGTTTTGACCATAGTAGCAAAATCAATATAAATTTATGATAATTTAGAGCGACTTTTCATAAGGTATATCCAGGTAACATGAGTATGATCATCAATAAATAACATGAAATACCTGGAACTCCCTATGATAGGTGTAGAAGATGGACCCCAAACATCAGAATGCACGATATCAAAAGGAGCAGTAGAATGAGAATGACTACTCAAAAAAGATAAAGCTGGTTGCTTTGCAGATTAACATGACACACAATGCATAGATTCATTTGGAACTGATCCTAATAAACCACAAGAGATAAGTGGATGAAGTTTACCAATTGAGGTATGTCCGAGTCGTGAGTGCCACAAATGGAGAGGAGAAATGTTAGTAGCAGCAAAGGCTTGGAAGATTTGTTGATATGGAATTTGTAAAGACTCTAATTCAACAGCACAAAGTAGGGTTTGGATGAATCGATCATTTGGAAATGATGGTGTATCCATTTTATTATCAGGAATATGCAGATAGTTGAGCTCAAACAAACACCCCACCTTGTGACCAGTTCCAAGAAGTTGTCTTATCCGTGGGTCCTGCACACGACAACCATGAGCAGAAAATGTTACTTCAAGACCAAGATCACATAATTGACTGACAGATAGAAGATTATAACTAAGTTTTGGAACTAAAAGGGCATTTGGTAAAGTCAATGACTTTGTAGAAACATTGTCAATGTGACTAACATTCATAGGGGAACCATCAATAGAATAAATATTAAGAAAGGAATTATTAGGTGACATTGAAGAGAAATGAGCAGTAATTGAAGACATATGGTTACAATAACCAGAATCGAAATACCAAGGTTTGGTACCCGGAGC